GAGACCCCCCCCATCCCCCTTTCCTCATGCTCTCCTAAAAAAAAAAAAAAAAAAACTGAGAAACGTCTCTCTCCTTTCAAGCAGCTTGTGCTTTTGGATGAGCTCTCCTTAAAAAGATAGCAAAATCTTTGTTTATTCCCATTGTTCAAGGGGTGGGGGGTGGATTTTCCCCCTCTCTTTCTCTCTCTATGCTGATTTCCATCAGCTCTGCCCAGCTATTTAAGTGTGTATTGTGAAGGCTGACCTATGAAAAATTCAGAGGACAGACAAGAGACCCAAGCCAGTGGCCCTCCACTGTTGGACTCCTTGGGGATCGCCGGACTGTGGGAGACACTGCCATTTGCACACCAATTGCTGAATCCCATTCTTGAAGCCAAGCTGGGCTTAGATAGCCCTCCTCCTTCTCCTCCTCCACTCTCTGTCCCGTTCTCCAGCAGTCCCACCATGGTGTTCCTCTGTGAGCGGAGATGAATAGGAAAACCTGCTTTGGGACTGAATGAATGCACAGACTGTCAAAGCTCTCAAAGGCCTGCAATTTTAGAGCCACTTGTGTTGCATATTAACATGTATGTGAGGACTAAACCATGTGGTCGCGCTCTGGCCAACGCACGCGCTGCATGGGGAATGGCAAAGCGATTGGCGTCTTAAGCAAACATGAAGAACTCGAGCGCTATCTTGCCTGGAAGAGCGAAACGGCTTAACGTTGGATGCAGAACAAATCAAATCAGTTTTTAATAAGCTTAAGTGAGACGTAATGACATCAGGAGGCCGGATTAATTAAAATGCAGAGTTTGCCGATCGATTAAATCCAACTCTGGGGCTTTCTAAAAACGTGCAGATCTAATTTAAGCATTTATAAACTCGTCTGTGCTAGAACGTTTTTTTCCACATTGTCGATGACTTGCACCAAAACCAAATGAGTTTTTCGTAAATGCGGCTAAAAGCGGCTCTCGTAATGACAATCAACAATAGTAAAAGCAGAGGTTTGCAGTCATCTCCAAATGGGAAATCTGTCTCACTGTAGCTCCAGTAAATTGGAAAAACAAGAGCAAGAATGTCTGGCGCCAGCCAAAGAAAATGCACCTTCGGCCTAACAGCACTAGGACATTTTTCAGACTGCGTTTCCTGTTAGAGATTCCGTCTCTTAGACGGTGCGTCACTCTTGGGAATCAGAATCGCTGTGGTATCGACTCCTTCTCTCCGTTGCACTGGAATAGAGATGCAAATATCAGCGAAGACATGTAGAGAGCACAAAACACACGACTGGTGATACAACACTGTGACACCGCAACTGGAATGTAGCACAATTTCATGAATGAATGAGTTTTTGTTTGCATTAATGTCAAAATCAACTGGGTTACAACCAAAAAATCTGTTGCAGGTCTGTTCTGATCATCAACAGTAATGCTAAATGCAAACAATAAAATGCAACTAATTATATAATCATGCATAGTTAGGATTAAATTAACAGGCTTATCAACTTGTGAAAAGCATGCAATCAAAGTATATATCGGCTTTCTGATGTCATTCCGTCTCACTTAAGCTTATTAAAATCTGCTTATATTAAATATATATATATATATATATATATATATATATACACACACACACACAGTATTAGGCCACAAATTCATGTCACTAATTCTTCTGCTAATACAATCTAATAAAGTGTTTGTTTCATGTGTTCCGATCACATTTCTATTGATGTTTATGCATTTACAAAGTTGTTTATGTCATGTCATGTCAATCATTTTGCATATTCCTTCGCGGGTTTATGCCGTTCTTGGTAATATTACCAAATTTCAATGTTTTATTTCTGTTCAATATGGGTGCTGAAACAAAACCAGTTGAGGAGCACTGAACTACAACATCTGCTTAGTGTAATCAGCACATGTTGTGTGCGTACACATGCACATTATACATTCTTCTAGGAAATGGTTTCCAAGGTTTAGAAACGACCCTTTGCAAACACAAGAACTATTGCACTGCAATTTGCACTTTACATCCTTGAACTAGTTCCACTATCAATAAGCAACGGTTTACATAAAGAATACCGGAGTAATCACGATCGATACTCAGGAGACTTCACCACCCAAAGCCAGCGTTGTCGAAGCTCGTCCAAACCACTGGAGATTTGTAGCCGAGCATTTCATAAACAGTCTCCTCGTTTGACTTCTCTCTCTCTCTCAGTTGAAAGTATTTTCCCACTGTTTAAGATTAGTTCAGGGTAAACAAAGACGGCATTTCTCAGGCATATCTCAAACCCGGTGCCCCCTAATCAAACAAAAATGGATGTAATCATACTTTTAAAACAATCCCCATCGCCATTTAGGAACTTCAAGCTGTAGCTATGGAGAGCGTGCTAATTTAGGTTTTCTCTTGGGAAAAACGCCACATTTCATAGGAAAATATTTAATGAGATGACAGCGGAGGACAGAGGAATCGGGAAAAAAGCATAATTTACAACATATTTATTGTTAATAAGTGATTCATAATATACAGGTTATTTACAAAAAACTCTGCGGGCACAAATAACTTCACTTTAAGCTTCATGTATATCACAATAATGAGAGAAAAACGGAGAAAAGAGGTAGAACAAGGAAACAGAGAGGTGTCGAAGACCAAAAAATTGGTTAAAGACCTTTTTCTCTCCAGAAGAAAACCTATTTTCTTAAAAGGAAAGTCTTTTGTCTCCAACCATTGTCCTCGCTTGAAT